TCTAGTCTCTCATATTCTAGTGGAAAGTTCCTGTTGAAAGAAATATGCATCTGGTTCAGTTCCAAGCTGGGAGAAAGACACTGGAAACATGAAGACTGATCGGAACAAAAGGTTCCATTTATTGATGAAGCAAAAGCACCAACCACGTGTGATTTTGGGACAGCGGACAAAATGGAGTTGAGAATGGGTGGGTTTTTATACTTCAGCCGCCCTGAGTCTTCGGAGAGGGGTGGCATATAAATTAAATTAAATTAAATTAAATTAAATTAAATTAATTCTTTGGGCTTTGTATTTGAGCTTCTTGCTCCTGTGCAAGAACATGTTCTTTAATATTCTATTGGCTGTTGTCAGATTCCTTTGGGGGTCATGTAGGGATCATGTAGACAAAAGAGGAAATGCAAATCCTAGGTGCTTGTCTGAGCTAATCTGGTCAACCTCTGGCTTCTTGTTTATCTGAGCTCCCAGGTTTCTGTGACTTTGAAGTTTGGACTGCTCTGGGGTTGGTGCAATGAAGGGGCTTGTGTTCTGAAAGGGTGTTAGGCAATTTCTATTGCGGTTAATGGCTTTCGTCCTGTGTTGAATCTTGGGTGTGGGGCTGCTTTCTAATCCTACCATTCTGCCAAGGACTTTTGAAATATCCTGTCTTGAATGGATTTCTGCCTGTGGTATTTGCTTTGCTTATGAATAGAGCTGTCTAGATACTTGTCTTCCTCTTTCAATAAACTCTTTATCTCTTAAGTGCTGGCATCTGCTGTGGCCTATTAAGAAAGGCTTGGGGTCTGCTTTCTGTCTTTAAGAGCATGTTTCTCCATTTAGGGAAATATAATATTCTGCCTTTTTAATATTTCCCAAAATATTTCATTCTCCTAGGGGAGAGAGGGGCTTTCCACATTCCTGTTACCTCTGCTACATTTGTCCTTCTCAAACAGTCCATGTTTCCAAACAAAGCATGGAGTGTAATCAGTTATAATTTTTATTTTCTAAGAAAAAATATTGCATCCATTTTTGGGGATAACGATTATGCAGAATGGTATTCCATTTCCCTATTTTATTTTGTTTTATTTTTAATACAATGATATATATTTTAAAAAATATAAATCAGGTGAGGCAGGAAATCTGGCATGTGCCATGAGAGTTGTTTGTGAGTATATTGGGGTTCAGCATTTGGGATCCTAGCCATAAGCAAGAGCCTGGGCTTATATATTAAGCCAAGGTAAAAGTCAAACCACATAATGGCTTAATGTGATATGTGAACTCAGACTAAGACATCTTGCTATGATCCCAGCTAGGAATGCCTGTATTTTTACCACATTGACACTAGGGGTGGGCTTCAAAAATTTTAGCAAGGGGTTCTCTGCCCAGGGTTCTCTGCCTGGGTTGGCGTGGCCATGGTGGGCATGGCCTAGTCAGCCTCCTGCATCATGGCAGTGTGTGTGTGTGTTTTTTCCCTCCCCAGGCTCCGGAGTCTTGTTGAGCCTCTGAGAGGGCAAAAACAGCCTCCCCAGGCTCTGGAGGCCCTCTGGAGGCCGGAAACAGGCCAGTTTCCAGCCTTCCTGAACTTCCGATAGGCCCATTTTTCACCCTCCCTGAGCCTCCGCGCTTACCTGCATCCAAAATGGGCTGGGTGGGGACTCCTGGGAGAGGAGGGGTGGGCAGGGCCAGCCGGGGTGAGATTTGGGGGTTCTCCGAACTGCACAGAATCTTAGCTAGAGGTTCTCCCGAACCCCTGCGAACCCCCACCAGCCCACCCCAATTGACACCTGCATCAGCTTTTTGTGCATTTGATTCAGCTGAACATCTGAACACAAGGAAACACATCGGGATATACTGGATTAGGAGATTTTACCCTCCTATCTACATTTGAATCATGGCTTTTTAGACAGCTGTTGCTTTCACTCTCTTTAAATGTCTTACCAGTTCATTCCAATCATTTTCTTACCAATAATTTACCCCATTTGTAAAAAAAAAAAACCAAAAAACCCACCTATATTCATGTTCCTCTTGAAAGGCTGTATCCTCCCTACACAGAAACGCATGCAGACACATTCCACCCACCCTTTCCTGCATTGTGCAAGCCAAATAGAATATGAGGTGAGCTTGTCTCAGCAGATGAAAGATGGCAAGAAATTGGTGCTTGGGGACCAGTGTCTTGGTGACATTGCTTCGGCAGGTCTTTTCTTTCCCGCTTCCCTTCTCCCTCTCATTCTCTCTGAAATGGTCTGTGCCTCCAGTAATTTACATAATACTCTTCTGACACCTTTACTTTAGTCATCAATCACAGTACCTTCTCCCAGTCTATCTTTTGTCTGAGCATGTCTCGTCTTTATCTGGCAATGCACAAAAGATTAATTTCACAGTTTTCCCCTCCCCCTTCCCTTCTTTCTTTCCTTGTGAGATACAAAGCTCATGAAATGACAGAAGCAAGATAATGAAAACAACAATGCAAGCATTTTTTTTTCTTTTTGTTCTTGCAGGTTGGATCTCAAGATACCTTTTTTTTTTGTAACCTTATTGTGGGCCATCTGTCTTAGAAAAAGGGTTCTTTCTGGTGTGTATGTATCTGTATTTTAATTCGTATTCTAAGGCTACCTGAAGAGGAAGATGGGTTACTGGTGGCAGGGATGCGGTCAGAAATACAGAGAAAAAAAAAACTATTATCAAAGGAACACCTTCCATATTTAGTTAGCCCAATTATTGTTAATTAGGATTTGTACAGCAATATGGAGAGCATCTGATTGATTTTGATGACATCACTTCCTCTCATGAGGGACTTGAAATGTATAGGAACTAGCGACTCATTTTTATATGCCTGGGGCCACATTATAATGATTCAACTGGTGGACATTCTTATAGATGAGTCAGCAACAAGCACCCTATTTGTGTTGGTCCCTCTCCTTTTAATCATTGGCAGACACAAATACAATCATGCTTTCTTTGTCTATGTTGATCATAATGCCTTTTTCTCCTCATGGATGCTGATATTACCTTCCTTCCTTTCTCCCTCCCTCCCTCCCTCTTCTCTCCTCTCCTCTTTTCCCCTCTCCCCTCCCCTCCTTCCTCTCCATCTCTCAATGGATGGGTGAATCACTCACTCACTCACTCACTCACTCACTCACTCACTCACTCACTCACAATGTTTATAGATATTCAGATCTTATAATATTTTCTCCACACTCTTCCCAACATTAATATTTTAAATGGTTGTTTCCTTTTGTCCCATGAAGAAATGTACAACTTTGAAGAGGTCTTATTAAAAAGAGCCTTGGTAGTACAGGGGTTTAAGGCACCCTGTTATTAAGCTGTTATTAAGACCAGCTGCCTGCAATTACTGCAGGGTTCGAATCTCGCCAAGGCTCAAGGTTGACTCAGCCTTCCATCCTTTCTAAGGTAGGTATATTGAGGACCCAGTTGTGGGGGCAATAAGCTGACTTTGTATAAATGTACAAAAGGATGAAGGCTATTGCTGAGCACATTGTAAGCCGCCCTGAGTCTTCGGAGAAGGGCGGCATATAAATCAAATTAAAAAAAACAAAACACAAAATATCCACCAAGCACTATCAGTCAAATTTGTCTTAATAATGTGGCACCTGGTTATCCACAGAAGTAGCAATGCTCATTCTGTACTCATAAGAGAATGCATAAATATATAAGGATTCAGACAAGGATCTTAGGAATTGAGTTCTTACATGTCTTACTGTCTTAATGCCAACCCATTTGCATTCAAGACTCTACACTGGCTCTGGTTAAGCTTATGAACTAGTCTCAAAGCACTTTTCTTATTCTAGAAAGTGTCAGAGACAAAATAGCTTGGTTTAAGGGAATGGCTAGATCCTTATAAATTATTATCTGTCATATGGATTATAGCCAAGGCTGTTGACTGTAGCATACCTTGCTAATATTCCCTCAATTGTGATACAGAGGCAGGAATTCTTACAGTAGCTCCCATCTGATGGTATAAACTTCAGACAAAGAGTAGGTAGGTTTTAAGGTTCTAGCCATTTTTACCATATTAATGAAGAAATGTGTGAAATCTAATAAGTTTCTGTCAAAGACCAAACTGTATAAATTTCCCACTAGTGCCATAATATATCTCACCTAACATGAAAATTCACAGGTATTCATTTAGCAAAGGGATAATTTCACAAAATCTTGTGTATCTGTGAGTGGGCTTGGGCAGTATCTGATATATTCACTATAGAAAACAACATATTTAGACCTGGTTTATATTCAGTGCAGAAACTTATGTAAAATAGACTGAGAAAACAACAGAAAGAATACAATGCTTTTTTTTTTTTGGCATCAGAAGTTTTTGTTGTAACCCTGCACCAGAGGTGGGTTTCAGCAGGTTCTGACCAGTTCTGGAGAACCAGTAGTGGAAATTTTGAGAAGTTTGGAGAACCGGTAGTAAAAATTCTGACTGGCCACGCCCCCATCTATTCTCTGCCTCCAGAGTCCAGCTGATTAGGAGGAAATGGGGAGTTTGCAGTAACTTTCCCTTGGATTGGGGAGGGAATGGAGATTTTACAGTATCCTTCCCCTGGATTGGGGAGGGAATGGAGATTCTACAGTATCCTCCCCCTGCCATGCCCACCAAGCCACGCCCACCAAGCCACACCCACAGAACTGATAGTAAAATTTTTTGAAACCCACCACTGCCCCCCACCCCACCTCCAATACAGTTGATAGCCAAATATCCATCATTTTATTTACTGCATATCTATTTCATGAAATGAATAGTGAGACAATAGATAAATGAATTACTTGTGGCTTTTAGGTCGGTCTATGCCTTGTTGGAAAAATTGTGGGAGTGATAGATGTCTGTAAAATGTAAAAGTACAATATCTCCTTCTGTGGCTGCCTATAAAGCTTCTCCTTAAGTGAAGGCAGTGAATTGGGGAAGTAAAAAAAAAAAAAATGTTGATTGCCTGACTGAAGTCCTAGCCTTAGCCCTTTTTTCTATGCATTACACATAAAGACATAAATATAGGTAATAATAAGCAAGAGTTATAGCCATATATTGTTCTACGATATATACGCATTGGTATCATCAGCATGATGATTCTTGTATGGTAATTCTTGTATGGTAAGCATGGAAAACAAACTACAATCATGGAAATTATTGAGAGGAAGCACATGTGGTCCCTTCATCCAATTCTTATCTTCTTTGTTCCATCAGAGTTCCATTACTTTTGCTATGCTTGTAGTAGCCCCAGAGCAGGAACTAGTGACAATATGGCCTATTTATTGCAAAGAAGAGAAGTCTATCTCCATTAATGGGAAAAGGCACTCAACAGCATTGGGCTCACTGGACAGAAAATACGCTAGAAGAACAGATGAATTTTGCCATCTGTTATCAAGTTGTCCTCAGTAGCCTTTCTTCCTTTTCTAATGAAAATGAGATTAATGTTTGGTGCATTTTTGATGCCACTTCAGCAAATTCTTGGGCAGTTAAATTGCATCTCCTGCCTTTCTTTTTTTTGCCAGATGGCTTTCTTGGATGAACCAATCCAATTCAATTTTGATGGCTAGTGGCAAGAAGGGCAAGACACAACATCAGCCATGGTCTTTATCTGTAATGAAAGAAAAAAAAATAAACTTTTTAATAAACAGATATTTCTGTTTTTCTTTTTTAGCTGCTTAAATAGGTATCTATTGTCTGATGAAAGCCCTGGTAGTAGTGAGTGGAACTATCATAGTTATCACAGAAGTATATAATATATTTCAATCTCTCCTGGCTCTCCTTAGTAGTTTGCTTTTTTTAAATTCTGTTTTTTTTTCTGCTAAATCTCTTTAGTACTATTTATTTTCCCTTCCCTCCCCTCCCCCTCCTCACTCTATTTACTTCTGACTGTATGAAATAATGTTTCTTCACATATGCCTAATATAGCATTCATATAGCTGTACTCCTAGGAATATAAGCTACTATGCTTAGACAGTCTTTCTGAGGCATCCACAAAATGCCTCAAATTAATAGGAAACTGATTCCCACCTTGAGCCTTCCATGGTTCAGCTATCGTAACCATATCAATACCTCCAACTATCATATCAAATAATTTCATAGCCATATATTTGTGGAGATATCCACTCATTCTCTCAAACTTAGGTTAAAAAAAATCAAGACTGGATTTGTTTTCAGTGATGTGAAGTTCTCTTTGCCTATTTTTTTTTTTTAAATTCTAAGGTGATAAAAGCAATAATTATTTGCCATGTATTTGCTCATCCTTTTATTCATTTTCAAGTGTACTAATTATTGAAAATAAAACCTTAAATGATATATTAAAAATCCTTATTCTTTTACTATTTTTCTAAGTAGTTTTTCTTATTATCCATAAACATGGCATTTTTCATACAACCATTTGTTTATTTATTTATTTATTTATTTGTTTATTTATTTATTATATTTATATACCACCCTTCTCCCAAAGGACTCAGGGTGGTAAACAGCCAAGATCAAATACATAAATATAAAAGTTAAAAAACAATTTAAAACCAGATTAAATACTTTGGCCCACAATTAAAAACATCCCATTAAAATCCAATTTAAAATTTAAAACCGTTAAAATTAGGCTAGCCCGGCTGGAATAACAAGTCTTCAAGGCACGGCGGAAGATGCACAAGTCCGGGATCCTCCGTACCTCCGGGGGCAGCTCGTTCCAGAGGGCAGGAGCCGCCACTGAGAAGGCTCCCCCCTGGGGGGTCTCCAGGCAACATTGTCTGACCGACGGCACCCGAGGAGCCCCACCCTGTGGGAGCATACTGGCCGGTGGGAGGCTGTCGGTAGCAGAAGGCGGTCCTGTAAGTACCCAGGTCCTAAGCCATGGAGCGCTTTAAAGATGTTAATCAACACCTTGAATCGCACCCGGAGGACCACTGGGAGCCAATGCAGCTCACGCAGGAGAGGTGTTACATGGGAGCGCCCCGCCACTCCCATAATCACCCATGCGGCCGCATTTTGGACCAGCTGGAGCCTCTGGATGCTCTTCAAGGGGAGCCCCATGTAGAGAGCATTGTAGTAGTCCAGTCGGGAAGTGACGAGGGCATGAGTGACCATGCACAGGGAGTCCCGATCCAGAAAGGGATGCAACTGGTGGGTCAGGTGAACCTGATAAAAAGCCCCCCTGGCCACAGCCATCATATGCTCTTCTAAAGAGAGCCGCGCATCCAGGAGGACACCCAAACTGCGAACCCTCTCTGTGGGGGCCAATGACTCGCCCCCAATAGCCAGCGATGGCACTAGCTCGCTATATTGGGACGCCGGGAGCCACAGCCACTCAGTCTTGGAGGGGTTGAGTCGGAGTCTGTTTCTCCCCATCCAGACCCGCATGGCCTCCAGACACCGGGACATCACTTCAAGGGCATCATTGGGGTGGTCTGGGGTGGAGATGTACAGCTGAGTATCATCAGCGTACTGATGGAACTGCACCACAAAACCACGGATGATCTCACCCAGTGGCTTCACATAAATGTTGAACAGAAGGGGCGAGAGGACTGACCCCTGTGGCACCCCACACATAAGGCGCCTCGAGGACAACCTCTGCCCCCCTGCCAATACAAACTGTGACCGGTCAGAGAGAAAGGAGGAGAACCACCGTAATACAGTGCCCCCAACCCCCAGCCCCTCCAGCCGGCGCAGCATGATACCATGGTTGATGGTATCAAAAGCCGCTGAGAGATCTAATAGGACCAGGACAGAGGAACAACCCCTGTCCCGAGCCCTCCAGAGATCATCAACCAATGCGACCAATGCTGTTTCCATGCTGTACCCAGGCCTGAAACCGGACTGGAATGGGTCTAGATAGACAGCGTCATCCAGGTGCTGGGGAAGCTGTCATGCAAATTTATGTCGTCCAGTCTAAGCTTTTCCCTTGTGCAGAAATCTAAACTGAAGCATCCAAAGCAGATGATTATCTACCCTCCACTTGAAGGAGAGCCCACCATTTTTTAAAAGTAATTTGTGCCACTGTTTAATTACTGTTAGAAAGCTTTATCTAATAAACAGGATCTATCTTGTTGTAAGATAAATGCATTATTCTGTGTGGTGCATTCTGGAATGAAGAAGGTCTTAACTTCCTTCTATATATTTTATCATACATTTATATCATAACCCCCCTGTGTTATCTTCCATCAAAGATAAACAAACCTTCCATCTTCAAAATAAGGCTTAATTTCTAGTCCCTGATCACGTCATTCTGTTTTCTAAACCTATTCTAATTTCTTTGAAATCTTAAATTATGGTACCCACCATACTCAAGATGAGGGTCTGAGCAAAGTAGAATATGATTTGGAAATTATATTTCTGTCAATGCAGGGATGGCCATGTGATATCCTTTATGATGACAATAGTACTTCCCTCTCATTTTGTTAAAAGAGCAATTAACTTATATGACTGCTAAATCAGTAATGTTCCTATATGAATTTCCATGAGATTTTAGGTACAATATAAAATATCATAAGACTTGAGCATTTTTTTAAAGCTTGAAACCTATATCATTGATGTGGACTATCCCTGAAATTGCACGTGGAACCTGCTTTTTGAAAAAAAAGATGGTTGAACCCCAAGCATTTAGGAGTAGCTACAGCTTAAAATATCTTCAGTGAGCTGCTATGGATTTAAAATTCAAGGAAGAGACACAGTTGTATATCACTGCCCTGCACTTCCCATATTCTCCAAGTAAGTAAGTAAGTAAGTAAGTAAATAAGTAAGTAATAAATAAATATTTCCAGAGTCATACCTGACTCTAGGGGGTGATACTCATCTCCATTTCCTAGTCAAGGGAACCAGCATTGCCCAAAGACACTTCCAAGGTCATGTGGTCAGCATGACTGTTACCTTCTCACTGAAGTGCTACCTATTTATCTAGTTGCATTCACATGCTTTCAAACTGCTAGGTTGGCAGGAGCTGGGGCAAGGACAGGAGCTCACTCTGTCACATGGTGCTTGGGTCTGTAACAGCCGACCATCTGGTCGACAAGCCCTAGCACTGTCTTAACTGCTAGGCTGCTGTGCCTCCTGTCCCATGTTTTGTGGCCATCCATAAAAATCCTACATAAAAATCCTACCTATACAAAAAGTTATGAGATCCCAAGTAAAGGGGCTGAAAAAGGGCACTTAATTAACAACTCCTTCAAACCTGGACTCAGCCTTTTCAGGTGTGGTGCTTTCATGATTCTTCACAGTGCTCCAGAAAGAATAGCAGGTGGGAATTATGGAACAAAAACTGTAAATTAACATTGTCAATCACATATAAAGAAAATCAGTACAAAATGTTTTATAGGTGGCATTTAACACCAGCGAGATTGGCTAAAATGTCCGCAAATAGGAAACCGGACTGCTGGAAGTGTAAATATAAGGACAGAACATTTTATCATATGTGGTGGCAATGCCCCAAACCAAAGAAATATTGGGAACAGATAAGGAGATGGTTACAGGAGATAACAGGAGAACAAATTGAATTAAAACCTGAATTATTTTTATTAGGAATAATTAATCAAAAGATAAAAAAGCAACTCCAACATATCATTTTACATATAGTAACAGCAGCATGAATTGTTTATGCCCAATGTTGGAAACTTGAAAATATACCAGCCAATGAGAAGATTATTCATAAGATATTAGAATGTGCCGAGATGTATAAGCTCACATTAGAAATAAAAGGCAAGGAAGAAACAGAATTTTATGAGGTTTGGAATAAGTGGTATAAGTGGTTAGAACAGAGAAACAAAAATATATAGAAATAAATGTAGATAACTGTAAGAGACACATGACACAGTACTGTTAAAAAATGCTTATTGTTATGTAAATTGGAAAAATGAGAAAAAAAAGAATAGCAGATGGGAAGAGAATGGACCATTATTGCATGTCTTAGGCAATGGTGGGATTCTGCCGGTTCTAGGGGGTTCGGCTGAACCGTTTGTTAAATTGCTGGCTCGTCCTGCCCCTTGCCCCGCCCCTCTGCACCACTATTTATTGCCAATAAATAGTGGTGGGCGAGGGACGGGCGAGCCAGCAATTTAACAAACGGTTCGGTGTTTTTTTCTAATTTTATTGGCCCGCGGAGCTTCAGCATAGGCTAATTAGCCCTTGATTAGATCGGCTCCTGACTCTCAGCTGATTTGCTCTCAGCTGTTTTGCTCAGGGCTCTGCTGCTTGCTGGAGCAGATTTTTTTTCCCCTAGCTATGCTGAAAAACGAAACTGAAAGTAAAGCAGGCTGTTGGCTTTGCTGTTGCTGCAACGTTGGAAAATTAGGCAGGCAGATTTCTTTTCTCTTTCCTCACCAAAAAAGGTAGGTGCAAACAATGGGAAATTTAGGGCAAAAGAGGAGAGTTCAAGATTTTAAAACACAAAAGAAAAAAAGCTCTATTTAACTAGGGAATTGTAATAATTGAGATACTATTAATTGTATATTGTGTTGAAAGCAGAAATGGTTAAGTTGTGGTTTGGAGGAATATATGGGGGAAATTATTTGGTTTATTATTATTGGTAAATATAATTAATTGATTTGTAAGAAATTGGATTGCATGGAAATAATTGGAATATTCATGTTCATATTGATTAATATACAAAAAAGG